ATTATGCTGCATTCGATATGTATATAAGATTATTAAAAATGCGAAAGATGTTCGCAAATTTGTAAATTATGCGTTTGATGTGGATATACGATTAAAAAATGCGAAATGTTTACGCATAGTCAGAAATTATGCGGCCGATTGGATATGCGCTGGTTCATTTGAACATGCAAGTGTAATATCGCATAGCATTTCGTGAATTTTGGGGTGTAAAAGAAGAAATTTGACGGGGTGGTGTGAAAAAGAAAGAATAGATATATAATGGGGTGAAAAAGATTTTCACCCTAAATTATATGTATTCAAAAATTCGTTTTAGTAGATATAATTACGCATTGAATTACATTAAATGATTGAAATATTTTTTTTATTTAATATTATTTTTACTGATCAATTTTTTTATTAATTAATACATATGTTATTTTTAATATATAAAAAACAAAAATTTTATTAACTTTCACTAATTACATATTAGGCATGAAGTCTGAATTGAAATAAAACTAAAATCTATATAATTGCATACTCTGTCATTTCATAATCTTAGCCGAGCTCTATAGAATCATCATTTATTTAATTAAAAATAGAAAAAAATTTGTGGCAAAAAATAAAAGAAAAAAAATAATATGGACAAGAATCAAAATTTGAAAAACGGATTATCATAATCCTTTTTTTTTTGTAATGGATTTGAAATCCTTTTTCAAATTATTTTATTTTTTAAATCGGACTGCGAAATTCGGGCTCGTTAGGGCTCGTCCGAACTCAGAATTGAGTTCCGTTTTTTTCTACATGTCGCCAACGAAGCCTTCTACGTATTTATGCTTCCGAATCTAATTTATTCTTGAAAACCTGTTCTCCCAAAGCTCTTGACCTGAAGTTGGCAACTCCCGTGCACGACTTCGCATATCGGGCCCGTTCGGACTAGTCCGAACTCGAAATTGAGTTTCGATTCTTCCTACATGTCGCCAATGAATCCTACTACTAGAGCATGCTTTCTTGACCAATTTTTGGGCTGGAAATATTCCTTCCGGGGCTTTCGGCCAAAAATGGGGAAAAATAAATAAAAAAACAAAGAAAACTAGCAAAATTTGGGCTCGTTCGGGCTCGTCCGAACTTGAAATTGAATTCCATTTTTTCCTACATGTCGCCAACAAAGCCTTCTATATAATTATGCTTTGAAATTCAACCTATTCATGAAAACGTATTATCCCAAAGCTCTTGACCTGAAGTTGGCGACTTTCTTGCACGACTTCGCATATCGGGACCGTTAGGACTCGTCCAAACTCAAAATTGAGTTTCGATTCTTCTTGCATGTCACCAACGAATCCTACTACTAGATCATGCATTTCTGACCAATTTTCGGGCTGGAACTATTCCTTTCGGGGCTTCCGGCCTAAAATGAGGGAAAAGAATACAAAAACGAAGAAGACTAGCAAAATTCAGGCTCGTTTGGGCTCGTCCGAACTCGAAATTGAATTAAGTTTTTTACTACATGTCGCCAACGAAGCCTTCTATGTAATTATTCTTTCAAATCCAGCCTATTCTTGAAAACCTATTATCTCAAAGCTCTTGACCTGAAGTTGGCAGCTTCC